GAGGTGGATAAGGACGATCGTACCGCAACAGTGGCCGCCACTGAGGCTGAAAACGACAGCGAAGTAGGTGATAATCTCGCGTAGTCTCTCCGCTCGTTGACTTAGTTCGGTTAGCTAGCTGATTTTCTTGGTGTGGTGCGTGTTTTAATAACGAATTACTACGTGGAGAAAAGTGTTCGATTGATAGCAGTAGTGAAGTGTATAACCGACACACCCTCTTGACACTCAACATCTATTTCATATCGTCATCGGTTCAATTCTTTACCCTCTTCCTTATCTGCCTTGTTCTTTCTCATTTTTTATTACATTTACGTACCGCATATACATTTGATCACTGCAGCCGTACATACTACATCTATCTTTTTCTTTTCCTTTGCTTTTTCTTCGTCGTAACCCTCATTCGTTTTTCTTCTCTCTCTTTTTCTTTCTTTCTCTTTTACTCTCATTTTCTTGATTGTCTTACTTGTCTTCTTCTCTTTCTTTCGAGCGAAGTGATTTATTGTTTTGCTTGTCGCATCGGACTTCGTTTGTGTTAAAACCATACCGACTGACTAACTATATCCCTTTATATCCATAACCATACATACTGTACTTCGTTCTTACCCCCTCCCAACAAACACCCTCGTTTTACAAAGCGTCTCACCCACACCTATTTATCCTCTCTCTTTCTTTTTCTGTCTCTGCTCCACCCCGGTTTATCGGCCGATCGGAGTGCAAATTCGTTCGTGACCGTGCTGTGTGGGTTTTGCATCTACCAGTGTCGAAAGATACGAAAACGGGGGTGACGCCGTACTTTTGGCAACATCAAATCAGCAACGTACAAGTACGAATAAAAGAAGAAATACATATTACCGTAGTAATAGGACGGTACGGTATTATTTCGAGCAGGCGCCACAAGCGATAACACTACTAACATGTCCGTGAGAATGGAAAATGTAGCCGCGCCGAGGAAGCTCAACTATAAAATGATAGTAAGTAAAGAAAACACAATATTTTTTGTTGTTATGTTTCATATTTTGTTCTTTCATTAATCATGCCGGTCATTTTCTACATCGAACCCGCCATGCTCGTTCTTAAGTTGCGTGCATATTTACATGTGTATACACGCTCTTGGAAAACGTAGCATTACCATGGGGACGGCTGATGGCCACGAACCTTGCGGAACCGGCGTAGTTTGACAGTTTGCCGCGGGGCGTCTGCTGCCCCACCCAATCTCCTCTTTCTCTCCCCCACCTTAACCTCTCATCCGTCTTCACATATTCTTTCTTTCTTCTTTCATTTATTCACATATTCTTCTGGTCTATCGTGTTGTATTTTGGAGAGAATTTGTTTGAAATTATTGTTGAAATTATTCAAAATATATGCATTTAATTTTTTAGTTTTCATTATTTTTGATTATTAATCATAATTTTGTTAATAAAATTAAGCGTTTAAATAAATTATGAATGACAAACTTGATAGATCGAAATATATATATTATAAAATATATTATATAGTTACTGAATATATTAATGGCATTTATTGAAGTAGATATATTTTTTTTAAATTAATTTAGCATTAAAATTTTTATTTTTATAATATTTCTTTTTTATATTTTTACGATAAAGATATCAAAAATGATTGATTCAATTAATCTATATAAAGAACGAAGCATCGAAGATCACATAATCAATATAACATATAATTTGTTAAATTATATATTATAATATATGATATATTATGAGTATTATTATTAACTAATTACATTTTTTTTAAATATAATTATAATATATATTTATAAATATATCTAAAAGATATTAAAAGTTTTTTTTATATAAAAAATATATTTTATTAAACTACTTTAATTACTTTTAATTTTTATTTTGAATAAAATAATAATTTATTATTTTCATAATTTTTTTGCTAAAATTTCAAAATTTAAAATTTTAAAATATTAAAAATTTTCATATTTGAATCATATGTGACAGGCTTTTATTCTTATGCATACGTTCCTGGCATTCTGCGCAGACTCTTGTCGTCTCTTCCTGTTCTCTGTCTACTTTCAATAGCTACGCTTTTCATGGAATAATTATATATTTTTTTATTGGATATAAATTTATATATTTTTTATTTCGATATACAATAAATTCAATATAAAAAATAAATAATACTAATAATAAAAAAATAATAATTAAAAATAAGAATCCATTAAGTAATAAAAAGAATGATAATTATAAATAAATTATATATTATCGAATCATTTTTATTTAATCGATAATTTTGTGAAAGTAATAAAAATGAATAAAAATTAAATTTTTTTTATTAAAAGAAATTTTTATATTTTTCAGTTTTGTTAATGAATATTTCTTTTTTCATAATCAAAATTTTTATAAATATTAGTTATGAATTTAGATTAAATAAGAATAATAGTTTTATTCATTTAATATAGTTCTAAAATATTTTCACCAATATTTAAAGAAATCTTATTTGCTTATATGATATTTAGATGCTTGTGAAAGCGACGTGGAGCACACACACACTATCCGGAAGCATTCTTAATCTGCACATTGAAATTCGACCTAACGCTCGCCAGTGTAGCCAACTTTGTCGTATGCTTTTAGTCAGACAATATCATTTTCATATAATTTTTGATGACGTGAAGTATCTTCATAATTCATCTTTTGAAATAAAAATAAAAAATTTTATGACATTTGTTGATATTGATATATAAATTCTTATTTGAAATTCATAATAATATAATTAAATAGTGTCAAGTATAATTACAGAATATTATCAACAATATTAACAATAATTTAATAATAATTTTACGTTCTTTCAAAATTTACTATTAATTAATATAAAGATTATTGTGAATGCATTTATAAATAAATAATTTAATATAAATAGTTGTTCTTTCAGTCTTGCCAACGACAAATTGAATATTGCAAATCAAAGATATAACAAAATATGCAATTTACATAAAAATTATTTTTTAAAACAATTTTATTTAAAAATAATTTGATTAGATTAGATAGTAAATTTTCGAAAATTAAAAAAGAAAAAATAATTTTTTAATGTTAAATTTAATTAAATTTAAGATTGAAAAATATTTTGAATATATAACTCAAAATCGATTAATTTGTCAAAAATAATAATGATTCATTGTACATGTACTTTGAATAATAAATAAATCTTTTTATATTTATAAAAATAACTCATTCATTAAATTTAACGATTAAAAAATATTTATTGATATATATTTATTTATATTTATTGATATAAAAATATAACTAATTTCGTTATAATAAATTTTTTTTATTTTTTTTTATTGATTTAAAAAATTTCAAGATCTCATATATCTTTAATAAATTTCTAACAAAATTATCGATTAACTTAAAAATCTTTAATTTTAATAATAAAAAATATTCAATTTTCTTACATTTTATTCACTATTTCAAAAAAATTTTTCTAATATATCAATGATTGATAAATCATAATTGTGATCTTACCCAAACGTTTCTAATTAAAATTAATATCTAAACATATGCAAAATCTTGCGAAAGGAAAGTTAGTGATGTAATAAACTTCAATCGTTCTGCAAAAAATAAATTTTTTTTTTAATTTTTTTGTTTGTGTATGTAGAAATAATGATTCACAGAATTGTTATATTCTCTTAAAACTGTTGAATTAATGCATTGTTTTGTAATGTTAATAATATTTTATTCAAGAATTACTTTTTTAATCATAAAATCCTAATTACAGTAAAATCCTAATAATATTGCAATGCTATTACAGTTCTAAACTAAAATATTAAATACCTGATCACTATATCGCATTTTTAAGTTCTTTAACTTGATTCAATGTTTACTTAAAAATATGTTTATCCTACAATAATTAAAGATTAATTTTCAAAGTAAATTTCAAAGTAAATACGTTCTATGTAGATTGAGTTTCATGATTTTTCCAATATTTCTTTTTTTATTATCTTTTTTAATTTTTTATTTTTATTATGTTTTCTTTCTTTTTTATTTTTTTTTTTCTAAAAAAGAACCAGGAATAGAAAAACTTCGCTTGTAATATTCGATTGCAAATAGTAATCGATTCTTTAATAAATATATTTAATGAATTGACGTTAAGAATTCATAACAATAATTGAAGTGATTTGTTTCAATCACAATTATATGTGCGAGTTTTCTTCATATGCCACAATTTCTAGTATGTCACAGTTTCTAGTGATCGTGATAGATTGTATACATCAATGTGCATACCTCTTGAAATCTAAAATATTAATAAAATACTAATAATTTTATATATATATAAACTATAATATAGTTTTCATCATAGATAATTATTGTTGTGATTTTTGATTCTCTTGAAATCTCTCTCTTTTGAAATCTCAAAAAAAAAGTAAGTGAGGGTACACACAAGTATTGTGAAAATCTGAATTTTTAGTCATTTCATTTTTTCATTTCAGATATTATTTAACATTTAAAGCTTTATTATTAGAAACAAAGCAACTATATGTTTATTTTTTCCAATTTATAGCTAAAAAACAAAAATGAAGGCTTAGTCTAATTTTTTTCAAAAATTAAAGGGTTTTCAGCTAACTGAAAGATGGAATGAAAGATGATGGATTTATTAACTTAGATTTCATAAAATAAAAGAAAAATATTAGAAAAAAAAATCGCCGCAAAATGAAAGTAACTAATAGAGATGATTTTACTCATTCATTAAATTTAACGATTAATAATTTGTAACGAAAAATAATTTGTAGGTGGATAAAAATTACACGTGAAAAAGCAAGCTGATGCGCAAAAGAGAAAGGGGCGAGACATAGAAGGGTAAAAAAACCAAGAGGGAAAGGGCCAAGTAGGGTAAAAAGAATAAACTCAGCAAAGATATCGATTATTTGTGGTTACAGCGACGGT